CCGTGGCCTCCTGCCCGCAGCCGTGGGCTCTCCTGCCTGTCTGGGCTGCCAGCGCACATGGCCAGCTCAGGGCCAGCTTTTCGCCTAATCAGCACCCCCAGGTCCCTCTCCTCAGGGCTGCTCTCCACCCCTCCATCCCCCAGCCGGTGCTGACACCGGGGGTTGCCCCGACCCGGGTGCAGAACCCTGCCCTTGGCCCTGGAATAAGGAGGACCAGAGCATCAGTCGTAGCAGCTACAGGGAAGAGCCTGCAAAGCCCGCTGCCCAGCACAGCCCTGGGGGAAAACACTCCTGCAAGGGCTGAGGGGTTGGCAAAAGCTGCGCCAGCGCAGAGCATTTCCCTGAGCTCGTCCCCTTCCCCACCGCTCCCCTCCACACTGCTCCAGCGCCAAAGCCGGAGCCACGAATCCATCCGGCTGCTCCGCAAAGCACGGCAAAGCCCCTCCGGAGCAGCAAGGAGGGTGGCAGCTTTGCCAAACTGCCCGGGGGAAGCCGGAGAGCCGGTAGCTGAACATCAGATGCAACCAGAGGCTGCAAGCCGAGATAGCAGGCTGCCCTGTTATCTTTATTTTAGCACCTTGGCTGGTGGGCTGGCAGCAGGTGAGGAATGATCTCAAACTGACATAAGAGCGGATGCTGCGATGTTGAGAGACAGGAGAAATATGTTTTCCTGCTTAAACGAGCAGAGAGGCACCGAGGACCAAACGGCCTCCTCGCTTCTCCGGCATAGACGACAATCATTACCCTCCTACGGGAAGCGTTGGAGAACGGCTTCCACGCACTTGCCACGGTCCAGAGCCCTCTCTGGAAAAGCAGGACCTCAGCTTAAGAAAAAAAAAAAATCCTAGCAAGAACTTCCTACAAGCAGCGCATTAATTCTCCTCAATCCTTCACAGCAGCCTGCCTACGCTGCCAGCAGGATCCCTCCACCACGCAGGTGTTCCCCGCCGGCTTCGCTCGCCGGCACCGAGCAGCCAACATCTGCGCGGCGATGCCGAAGCATCACCAGCTCTGCTCCACCTCGCTGGTCCGAGCCGAGCCGGCAACGGCAGCCACGGCGTCCCGGGAGCCCTCCCTCTCGGCAGGCTCGTGGCTTCGGATTCACCGGATCCCCCCGGCCCCTCCGAGTCCCTCCCGCATCAGAAGCTTCCGTCCCGCCAGCACGCAGCACGCCAGCTCCGCGCACGCAGATCCCTCGCGTTGCTGTGATTTGCGCCCCATCCTGCTAACGCCGAGGAG